GCCTTGCGCCTTTGAAAAACCTTTATCCCCCCCTCCCCCCCCCCCCCCCGCAGCCATTCTTCTGCCTGGGGAATGATAATAGGAGATGTTGTCTAATTATCTGGAGGACACCAGCTTGGGAAAATACAAACACTATTGCAAGAGATTTGAAGAAGACCCTCTTTAGCTACATCCTGACTTTCATGGCAGGTGTCTCAAGCTTGGATGCCTGAGGAACAGGTGCTATTTTCCAAGCCACACCCCTGGTAAAATAAATTCACGGAAGGTGAAAGTAGTTGCTAATGTGTTGGAAATATCCTAGCTGGTTGCACAGGAAGAACGACTTCAGGGCCAGCCTAACATGGTAAACGCATCAGTTTTATCTGATAAGACACTGCCCTGTACCTCATTATTGTCTGAAGCAAATTGTCACTAGGTATCTTGTATCCAAGCTCCAAAATCCTTTTTACTGAACTAGCTTGTGATCAATGTCATCATGTGCATGGCGATTTCTTCATTTTGAGATATATCTCCTAGGAATATATGCGGACCATCAGTTAAGCTTCCAACTTCCATTTCAGAGAGGAGCCTTAATCTTAAAAGTCCCTCTCTGAGGAAGATGTGCAAGCTCTGGCAGAACAAAAACCAGATCCATGTGCTTCCCAGTTATTGTTAAAAATGCCTAATTTTCAAGATGCTGAGTAACTCTGCGTGTAAATTGCAAGTTGTAGAGTATTTATCTTTTGGAAGGCAGTGGTGATTACACTAAAATGGTAGGTTTGGTTAGTGAAAACAGCCACTGTCTAGACAGAAGACCATTGTTTTAAGTGTGGCCCAAAGAGTTTTGCAATACTATATTCTCTGTGAATCTGCAGCAACAGCTCTTCTGTCCTCCCTCAAGTACGAACATCTGTGCAAAGCAAAAGCATCTCTAGAATAGTAGTTGAAGTGCAAAACATTTTGGGAAAGGCAGATGGTTCATCTTGGATGAGAAAGAAATCTGAAAGGTTTTCAGAAAGGAAAACCTAGCTAAAACTGCATCAAAGGAGTCTATAAAACTAATAATAAGAAAGGCACCACAGTTACTTCTTCAGAGCTTCTTGTCAGATTTTTGGCCTTGAAACTTTAGAAGTTGTGATCCATCAACGTCCACGCTGGTGCTTTTGGTTCTGGAACTCACTTCTTGAAAAACACTGACCTCCTCCCAGCGGTTTTGAGGATGCCTGGAAGGTGTGTGGAAACCCTGAACAGAAAGGGAGGCACCTTCCCCTGCGTTTGGGTACACATATTGACGTCGTTGACAGACGTGGTTCTGCTTCCTCAATATTTGCGTGAGCTGCTGTGAGAGTCACGTTAGCAGAAAAAAAGAGCTACAGAGCAAATATGATCAGGAGGCCAGCCCTTGCCGTTCAGGATCACCCAAGCGACAGAAACTGCGG